CTGGATCGCTCGTTGGGAGTGGAAGGAGCTGTAGCTCCGCTTATCGGTTGGAGATTGCGCGCGTCGGTCAAGCGGGCGGTATCGTCGTAGGTGGGGGAGAAGTAGTCGTGGTCTTCCGAGGTAGATCTGTCGACGTATGGTTCGTGCCCATAGGGTGTGTGTGTGTAGGACATGGACGATGCCGGCGTGGGTATTGGCGGCGATGTGTCGCCCTGGAATTCCATGCCCATGCCGAATCCAATGGCCGTCTGGAATGCGCCCGCGTCCAAGGGCGAGCCAGGCCCTTCGTCGTCCACGACCCTTCGGATGCCATTATGCGAAGGGGGCAGATTGGTGTTTATGTGCGGCGGTGCGAATCGCGTAGGGCTGGGCGATACCTCTACGATGGGCGAGTACTGAGAGTCGCGGAAATGTCCCCCTGTGCCTATCGCGCCGGCCTGTCTGAGCAGATTGCGCCCGCGGTCGCTGAGCGTCCGGCGGTGTTCTTGCGACGCATCTTCGTCGAAGCCGTCGGGTGGGCGATTGAGGTCTTGCAGAGGTATTGATTGGTGGGGGTGACTTCGGCCGTGGTTGGGATCCGGGTAGGACATCGGGACGTCCTGTCTGATATGCGGCGTTCAACCCAGCATCTGAACCAACTAGCTCTCCCAGAATGCTATTGCGCGATCATGCAGGCGTCAGAACAAACGTAAGCGAGTGTCGTAGCGTAGAGAGAGCGTGGCAGCGATGGCGAGAGCGGTAGGTGGCGCGTAGCAGTCCAAAGGGCGCGTGTGGTGTGTTTGGTGGGAAAGAGTTGGTTGAAATGCGGGATGGATGCGGATTCCCAAGCACGGACAAGGGTGTAGTGAGCGACCAGGATGCGCGGCTTAGGCTAGGGCTGAGGGTTAATTTTAGTTTAACGTCTACGGTACTTGTCGTGTTTGGCATGTGTCATCGCTGTCCTGTAGACGGTGCTATTACGAAGAACGTGAATCTGTTATGCGATTATGTAGATGGCATTTGCTCTCCAAGTTAAAGCGAACCACCATACAGCATGAGTAACCAACACCACCCAGGAATCCGAAACTGCTGACGGCTTACCATGCAACGTCTCTGGCCCCTGGCGTGGAATCCTCCGGCACTGAGCCACACTTGGTGGAGCTGTGGCTTGTGCACTTGCGTGAGCCACGCGGCCTTATATCGTCACCTCCTGTCATCATGGCCGTGACGATGATAATTTCGGTGGCTTGGTGGAGTCCCAACCGACGGCCGGTCGAATTGTCCATTCTGTCACGAAAGACGGATACTCTTGGAGTGCGCATATCCTGTAAGACGGGTGCATTAAGGTTTATAGGGACTGGTCTTAGTAAGCAGCTACATTGATGCCATGCACTCGATATGCCATTGCCATTGCGATAGCTCTGCCTGTGTAGTACAAGCAAAGCCGCTGTCTGCGTTCTTCGTCATCGTCATGAGTGTTCTGTCTCTGCCAGATTGCATGTGCAAGGCTGGGCCGATGGCGCCTTACCGCTTTGGGCCTCCCCCGGACTCGCCGACAATCGACGCGCGACATTCATCACTCACATCACCAAAAAGGGACATCGGCACTCGCATCATCGCCCTACCCACGAGCCCGCCGACACCACGACAGCATTACCCATCGCCATCTCACAACGCGCATTTGCTAGCCACCATTTCTGGCCTCTACACCATATCCACACGTAACTCACACGCGTCGCCGCACGCGAGGCACCGCAGCCATGCCGTCTCGAAAACGCGCCGCCGACGAAATGGAGGCCGAGGCGCCTGTTGAAGAGCCCAGCACACTGCAAAAACTGCGCAACATGTGGCAGTTTGCAAATCTGGCCCAGTACATCAGTCTCTTCGGTGACGCGGTCAAAATCGACAAGGACTTTGACATCGAGGTACATGCCCTTTGCGCCTGGCATCCCAGCCCGGCGCGCATATGTTTTACAAGGACCACGAGCTGACACACGTGCAGGAATTGGAATCCGAATGTCTCCAACCACAGCCATCCGACAAACTCGCACAAATTGGCCTAGCGCTGCTGAAGCACGTATCGTCACACAAGGGCTTGACGTAAGACCTGGCCATTGCGCATAGTCTCGATAGTACTGACATGATGGTAGACCCGAAATCTTCGATGAATACACCCGCCGACAGTATGTCGCGAAAGCGCCCGCCCGAAACCCCTTTGGCGAGGAAGAGGAGCCCAACAAGTTCCACGACTTCGACGTCTTCACCAAAATACGCGTCTTGCAACAACTTTCCGTATGGACGCTCAACAACCCGAACACAATAAGAGAGAAGATTGGAGCGACGGATAGCGAGCAGACACTATGGGTAAGCATCACTGGGATTGGTGCAGGGCAACGACTAACATGCCACAGCGTATGGAGCCCACGGGCTGGGACTCGCAAGAGCGATCGCTATTCGTTCTCGACGACAACCGCATGTACCGAATGACCGATCCACCACCTCCTCCCGAACCTACCAAAGCCAAGGCCAAATCCAAACCAAAGCCCAAGAAATCGAGAGGTTCAAGAGCCAGCAAGCGACAAAAGGCGTCCACTCCCGAACCCGAAGAAGCTGAGGAGGAGGAGCAAGCAACTGAAGAGCAACAGCCTCAAGAGCTTGACGACGGTCTCGGCGGCAAGAAGTGGGAGTGCATTTGCGTCACCTTGGAAGACTACCAGGAATACATGAGCAGCATCCGGAAGAGTCGCGATCCAAACGAAAAGGTTCTATACAAACGCCTTCAGGAAGACGTTATGCCTGTCATGGAGGGGCTGGCAGAGGAGCAAGCAAAGAAGCAGGCCCGCAAGATGAAGGAGTTGGAGAACATGCAGAAGCTTGCTACAGCGAAGCGCTCGTCCCGAATCTCGTCGCGACTCGAGAAACAGAAGGAGGTTGAAGAAGCCGAGGCTGCGGAACGTAAGAGGCAGGAAGAACTTGCCATGGCCAAGGCGGAGCAAGAGAAGCAAAAGAAGATGGAGGAGGCACAGGATTCTCGCAGGATGACTCGTGAGCAACGGCTGAAGGAGCGTGAGACGGCAAAGATTCTGAAAGAAGAGGAGCTGCGTAAATTGCAGGAGAACGAACAGAAGCTGGCCTCAAACAACGCCAGGCTATCGGAGCGGCACCTGAAAGCCATGATGAAGAAGCACGAGAGTGATCTCAAGAGGCTCAATGAGGAGGAAGATTGGTTCTTTGACTGCGAGAAGTGCGGCACTTATGGCTCCAACCTAGTAAGTTTCACTGCACAACGGCCATGCATTTCGCTAACTTTAGCAGAACGACAACACCCCACAAATATCGTGTGAGAAGTGCAATGTCTGGCAACACATGAAGTGCCATGACATCACAGAAGAACAGGCGGACGATTCGAAGTTTACGTTCGTTTGCACTGCCTGCAAGCGTAAGGAGGGAGAGGCGGATGAGCCGAAACTCCCTTCTCTCAAACTACGATTGACATCGCAGTCACCACGAAACCAAGCAGAAGCAAATGGCAACGGCCCCTCTATGTCAACGAACCTGTTTGACGCAGTACAACTACCACGGCCACAAGCTTTCCAGCCCTCCATGCATCCCGCCCAGCCATGGGTCGACGGCCCAAGTCTATCTCCCCGTGGTCAAGCTCTAGGTCCACCTGGCATACAAAGATCGGAAGCTGCCTATGGATCACCCACTAAAGGCGCGAATGGTAGCATGTCATCGCCGATACGATCTCACTTCTCATCTCCTGGGCACAGAACTGGCAACGGTCCAACATCGTCACCTCCACCGTACAACCTCGAACGGATACCGAGCAGCCCAACAAAAAGCTTCCACATGCCACAACCACAGCAGAACGGTAGCTCTTTCGGCGGTCCCAACCCCTTCAACTCGAATCCATTCGGCCCACCGCAACCCGCAGCACCGTATGTGCGGAGCTTCAGTCGTCCAGCATCAGCAGCAGGCCCAGGCGGCTCACCAGTAAAGCACTCACCAGCCGCCTCCCCCCGTCCAACCAACGGCCTACCACCAAGCTTCAACTTCAACAGCCCGCACTCCTCCTTCCCACCCAGCTCCGCCAACCGCCCCTCCTTCTCCCCGACCAAACACAGTTCGCCCGCGCCCCTCCCAGCAAACATGTCCTCCCCGGCCCCAGCACCAATGCGCATAGCTCCATCACCATCGTCCCAAATGCCCGCGCAGATGCTCCCAGACCCCATTCCCGCGCCCTCAAAACATGACGCCATGCGCCCGGTATCAAGCCACCAAATGTCCGAGACGCCTATCTTCCCGCCCGTCAAGAGCCTGGAACCGCTTTCCAGTCCGACCATCCTTGATCCGCCCGTCAAGAAGTCGAGTCCGGCGCCGAATAGGATTCTTGACGTAACAAATGGCTCGAACGGATACGACCATGGAAGCAGTCAGTAGAGCTTTGATACACTGGACCCAGAGTGCAGGTCCTGCACTTTCTCTCATGGCCAAAAGGATAGGCCTCTTGTTTCAGCAAGGCTACGTCATCCCTTCGGACCCTATTTCCTTTTTGGCTGCTATCCCCTGTTTTTCTTTCAGCAACCGTTGCGGCGTTTTTGGGTATCAAGGGCAACACGTCAACTAGACATTTCATAACAAGTCTGGCTCAGGTCCATCTCTTGCATAATTAGGGTATATGGAGTGGGTGGGGTTGGGGCATGTCGACGGGACGATGTTTTTCTCTGGCAAGAAAGCATTAGTGTGGGTCATGAAAAGACGGTTGCATGCATGGAGTATTTTTGCTTGGTTTTGAGCGTGGTTTTCTTGTGGCTTATAGCTAAGTTTGGGTTTGGGCGATGGATTGATTGAAAGGCCCTTTTGTATTATTAGATGTACCATGGAGAATGGAAAATTGAGTATATTGTACAGTGAAATGTCCAGGTCATGTCATGCGTTATGGGGCGGTATGCGAAGGGTTGACTTGTGCAGTTCCTCTCACATCGCGAGTAAAAGATACATTCTGTCTTCTCACTAAACTATTCGTCCAAACGATACGACGTATTCGCTATATCAGTCGGTTTATAATAAGGCGTCTTCATGGGACACCAATCGTCGTCGCAGTCGTGTTCATCGCTATCCTCGTCTTCCTCATCGCCATATAACTCATCCCTCCTCCCGTTCATCTGATTACTGATGATGACCTGCTCGGCCAGTGCTTCAAGAAGCATATACCTATCTCCTCCACCATCGCCAACGCCATCCCCCGCACACCCCATCAAGCCCTCATATTCACCCCCAAGTTCATCAATAACCGCACGCATCTGCTCGCGGCTAACATATTTCCCCACAGCACCCCAATCGGACCCAGGTCTTTCCCCGTCTACTACAGGAAGACCTTTCCAAGCCTGCCGCAGCATCTGCACACAATAGTGGAAAAACACATAACACTCCCTCGGTCTACCCTCCCGACTAGAAACAGGAAATCCTACTTTCGACCCGTCGATATCGCGGAGTGGAACCGGCCTACGGGCATTTGTAAAGGAATTGATATCTTGCATCAGCCCACCCGTCTGTTCGGTCTCTCGGTTCTGCGTGAAGATCTTGAGTTTGTATTCTCTTGGTGTGGTGTTCTTCCACGTAGCGATTTTAGATGGGGAAGTCGGGGAGGAGATATCGGGAACAATGGCCATGATACCACTGTCGAAGCGTGCTCCCATGTAGTCTGGTAGGAGTAGGCCGTTGAATGAGGAGAAGAGGGAGGGAGTGGAGTCGATGTTGCTGGACCCGAAGAGTGCGGTGGCTAGGTCTGGGTTGGACTGAGAGGCGAAAACAGGCGTAGCTTCAAACCGCCGATAGCCTCCGTATTCGTAGGCCCCGGAGAAGATGTTCCAGAGGTAGCTCCAGTACATGTGATCGTATTTTTCCCTGGGATCCACCATTCCTTGGTCTGCGATGATGGAGTTTCTGAAACCGTGGGGCGCGAAGGTGGCTTCTACGTTGAACCGCGATGGAGGTATGGCAGAAACTGGTATGAGCGATTTCAGTATGCTGCTTTCTTCAGTCTCGACTGCTTCAGCTGCAGTAGCAGCACGTCGCTCATAGATCTTCCCCTTTAAATCCCAAGCCATCATACTCTCCCTGAACAACCGTGCCTTATCCGTTCTCATGAATTTGACTTCAGGTCCATGATCGTCGATATAGAAGGTACGATAGTCGTATTCAGCTCTTTCGAGTTGGTACAAGGACAACCATCGACCCAAAACTGCATAATCCATGGCTCTTTCCCAGTACTCTGCACTGGACATACTTGTGTGGTTTAGTTTGCCCCCCAGTTCCTTCATCTTGTCTCTGGCGGTCTCTATCCGCGTGGCATGCTTTTCTGATTCTTTCTTCCAGGCTTTTGAGATTCTCGAAGAGCGAGACGAAGACGAAGACATGATTGCTTGCGTGTGTGCGACTTTGGATTAAAAGAGGATGTATTAGTCTAAGGACATGGGCTACGAAATGTTTGCAGTTATATTTTGGTAGGAGCGTATGACTCTTTCGTAACGTGGTCGTCGGTACCGAGAAGAACTGGGCATGAACCTGAACCATGGAACGAGTCAACATATCTGACACTTATCCAGTCTCAGTAACACACACAGCGATATCTTGTCACTCTTATGATGATCATAAAAGGGGAGGAATGTCGTGTTCTCCCAGCTGCGTGACGTCATCTTGTTCACTTTGGAGAGGAAAGAGCATAGCGTTGATCAACAACCCTTCTAAGCCTCCCGAGGTCTTCTGCCTTCTTTGTACAGACATAACCTGCGCAATCGTCCCTACACGGCGATCAGTTCCATATTATTGATGACCACGTATGATTGGACGCGAAAACTTGAAAGATCGCACGTTGCATGACTGCATCTCCTCCCCGCACCTGCCATCCGGATGTCGCGACGCACCTGGACTTCCCCACCAATCGAGCCACGCTACCTTCGATGAAGGACATGTGCGCTAAAAGAGATACTGGGCATCTAGGGTGCGCTTGAGATGCTATAGTATGGCATAGCTACGTTGCGCCTAGGCATTATTCAGGTATTGACATGCCTTCGCAACGCCCACAGGCTGCTGTGGACCTTTCCGCATATTGGCCTTCCAATATGTATGGTATCGGAATTGGCGATGCTGGGATCTTTGTCATTGACCATTTCCCAATTGTGGTGGTGGCTGGCTGAATGATGGTCACTTCGGCAGACTTCACGATAAGTATGCATTGAGGCATTGGACACATACGTGGCACCACATCAACGCCTAGGAGTCCAGGCGAGCCTTTTTCGTGAAGTTGTATAGATGCAAGTGCTCATTTGCTGGGTCTGCTGACAGCGTTGTGACTGACTAGGATTAGAACAGGAATGAGGGGTAGTCGCAAGGCTGTATGCATAGCAGAAAAATTGTTGGTAAAGTTGCTTTCTCGTTTTATTCCCTCACTCATCTGTCTTCTAGAGATCAGGAGTCGATCGTGATTAACGCCTTTCGCTCCACAACAACACTCGTACGATGGGTGAGAAGAAGCTGATTGCGAACCCGCCTATGAAAATATTTGTCTTCTGCGATGGAACAGGACAGAACGCGGTTCGAAACAAAGAACCTACGCAGGACACGAATGTTCATCGATTCAGGCAATGTGTGCCCGAGTCAGCTTTTGTGAAACACATATATCAATCGGGTGCAGGGACCCATGCGCCTGAGGGTACCAGTGCGATCAGCTTTGCCAGTATAGCAGATTTGGGTGACAAAGCTACAGGCAAAGGTGGGTGGATTTAGGATTTCCTTTCATAGTTATAAGTTTTGCGTCTCGAAACAACAATTAACATAACCCTGCAGATCTTCACTCTATCATCCAGACGTTGTACAAGGAGCTTTGCGAAAAGTACGAGAAAAATCGAGACGCAGAGATTCACTTGATCGGGTTCTCAAGAGGTGCCTTTGCGGTTCGTTGTCTGGCCTGTCTGATCGATAAGATAGGCTTGCTCAAAGCAAACTACCGGACGAAGTACTACCCGCATGTTTATGATATCTGGCAATCACAGGACGAAAGCAGGTTCAACAAATGGGCCACGGGAAAGGGGTGGTACCAGTCCATTTATCCAGTGCGAATCGCCAGCTGTGGGGTCTGGGATACCGTGTCCACCATCATACAATCGCCGGCCCTTTCGTTCGTGAGTGATTGGATTCCCAGCAATCTGAATTTCGCGTTCCAGGCGCTAGCACTTCATGAGAGAAGGGAGTTGTATAACCCGCTCCTTTGGAAACACAAACCAGGCGGCAGGACCTGCATTCGCCAGTGCTGGTTTGCTGGGGATCACTCTGACAATGGGGGCAGCTGGTACGATTGTGGACTGGCAAATTTGACGTTGATCTGGATGTTGGCTCAGTATAAGAAAAATTTCACTGGTGACTTCATCGATTGCGACCGCTTATATGAGCGTCTTTGTCCACCCGGTGCTGGATGGCCCTCGCTAAGTCACACGCTAAGTCAGGGTATGTGCTCCGAAGGTGCGCGCAAGCTAGGCGATGACATTGTTGACGTTCGTCTATAGGTAATGTGCATCGCTCTTGGGGCCGAGCGAAAGTATGGCAAGGCAAGCAAGCTCGAGAACATCTTCTGGGACAAGATTCTGGAAAAGACGGGAACGATTCAGTCCCACTGTACCAACAACAGAGAATACACTTCACGGTTCGCCTCTTCCTCGCTAAGGGTCGGCAAGAGGTTACAGAACGCACTTGCCTAGTCACAGCTGGCTCTACCAAACCTACACATCCTGATGACGCTAATCAGCGGTCTGTGGCCTGGGTGCTGGAGAAGACAGGGAAAAACGAGCGAGGGAAAGGAGGAGACAAGGGACAGAAGAAGAACGAGGGGAAGGCTAAGGAGAAGAATGAGAGAAAGGCTGACAAGAATGAGGGAAAGGCTGAGAAGAATGATGGGAAGGTTAAGGAGAAGAATAAGGAAAAGGCTGAGAAGAAGAATGATGGAAATACTGCGAAGAAGGGCGAGAGAAATACTGAGAAGAAGGGTGAGGATGCGAATGAAAAGAAAAGCGAGGAAAAGAGTGAGAAGAAGGGCGAGGAAAAAAGAAAAAAGAATCACGAGGATATCCTAACCATTGTAGAGGATGAAACGACCGAGTGGGAAAACGACATCATCTTCGAATGGACCAAGAAAGCGCAGAAGCTGGTTAAGAAAGATGTCCACAACATCTTTCAGGAGGGTGTCGAGCTACATGGGATGACCGTCGGCCATCTCGTTCGTGGACTCAAGAACGCCGGCAATATTCCCAGCCTCACCGTCGAGCAACTCCGTCGTAAAGACAAAGATCTTACTGTCGAGAAGGCGTGCAAAATCATCATCGACCAGGCGTGGGAATGCAGCCTAGAGCACTTTCTCCGTGAGAACAAGAACCAAGGGACTTGCAAAGCAGCAAAAAGGGTTCACTACATTCCGCCCAAGAACGTTGTCGTGGGATTTCGTAAAAGGAGCTCATCGGAAGGACCAACACCAACGGGAACAATGGTCGGATCTGATGAACGGAATGAACCGCGAAGGCGATCATTCGACCCATCCAGAGACGTGGAATCGTTCGAAGATCAAACGATCCATAGTGAAGCACCCTAGGGTAGCTCGGCTTAGGCTGTATCCACAAGGCTGAAAGGTGTTGACCGTATTGTTTGATTCACGGTTAAGACCTGTTGTGTTTTCGAAGCACAGATCAGTAGCAGCTTCTTTTGTGATATGTCGTTACTACCTTGTACGAGAAGAAAAGACTGAACTGAACGGGTCTGCAGGCTACGTTACGACAAAAACTTGCAAGAATGAATAGAGTGCGCCTTTGACTCAGACTGCGGTCTGGTCCTGGTTCGTGCAAACTTGCAAGGTGAGTAAGCCAACGTCAACGTAGGCTCTAGGGTGTTCGGTTTTTTCCTAGGTTAGCATTTTATGGCCTCTAGGGCTTTACTCGATCATTGCGGTAGTTAGTACACACCAACGAATACCACGATTTTCTCATGTCTCCACCAACCATCACGCACAATTTCAACGTGACTTGTAAGCATAATTCTCATATTACAACTCCCCAACTACCTTTATGCTACCCAGAAAACGCCCAAACAGCGCCGTTCCCCATACCCAAAACACCAATGTATGCGAACAATATGCAAACACGCTCAACAGTAGATTGTCACGCACAACAGCACAACAGCAGCAGCAAAGAGACACAGCCAAAGTCGCCGCGATCAAGCCTTCAACCTCCTCTCCTCACACCTAACACAAACCGGATCCTGACTCTCTCCGCGAAGGAAATACCTCCCATCTTCAAAAGGACCAGAGCAGCACTATTTCTTACGTTAGCAAACTGACCCAATAGGCGGAAAGACGGGAGATAAACTTACCACGCAAACAAAGCACCCAACATGCCACTCCGCCCCCAGTGCCTTGACAACCGTATCGGTAACCGGTTTCCTACACCCCTTACACTTCGTGCTATACCGATGCGTATGACAATTAACACACCAAGCATACCCATCCTTCTCCACAAACGGCGTGTTGCTATCAAACGGATCGCCACACTGGGCACAGAAAAAGTGACCCGCATGCCACTCGGCGCCACAAGCCACAATAACCTCACCTTCAATAGGCGTCTTGCAGCTCTTGCAGCGGGGCGAAAACAGCTCGTGGAAGTCGAGGTGGCAGTAGAAGCGGGGCGTTTCGTCTGTGCCGTCGTCGTGCTCGAGGCGCGCCATGGAGTCTGCGGTGGGGTGCGAGGGCAGGTACGGGATGTCGGCGCCGGAGAGGCGGGCGCGGATGCGCGAGACGCGTTCGGCGTGTTTGTTGGAGGGTTCTGGGTAGAAGGCTACGCATTCGAGGTGCTCGCCGCATTGGTAGCAGGCGAAGCATTCCGGGTGGAAGCGCGCGCCAGAGGCGGAGACGATGCGGCCGGCGATGGGGAGGGCGCATTGGGCGCAGAGAGCGCCGGTGCGGACGGTGGTTGGGGTCCAGTGGGTGCGAGGGGTGGCTGTGCCGTTGTAGCTGTGAGACTTGTTTTGGGCGTTTGGAACTGGCAGTGGTCGTGTTGACGCGGCTGGGCCGAAGCCTTTGGGTGTGTTGACGTTGATCGAAGGCACTGAAGGGCTGACGTTGATCGAAGGTACATTGCTATTGCGTCCTCGAGTCGGAGCTGGGGTCTCATTGACGGATATGGTCGGAATGTCGGGAGTCACGTTGATAGATGGTGCAGTCGCTCCCCTTCTCAGCGCGGGCGTCTCGCTCACAGAGATGCTGGGAATTGGTGGAGCGTTGCCTCTTGATCCACGGTTTGGCGCCGGTGATTCGCTAACGGATATCGAAGGGACTTCCGGTGTTACAGAGATTGAAGGTGTTGTAGAGCCTCGTCTCGGTGCTGGAGTCTCGCTGACTGATATGCTGGGAATAGGCGGCGTAGCACTCGTTGGCGGAACGTAGGGGCCACGGTTGAACATATTCTTCCTGGCCGAAATCGACGGGGTCTCGGACACGGAAATAGAAGGAACTGGCGGCGCTGGTGTCGTCCTCGAACGCGCAGGCGCTGAGTCAGATACATTGATACTAGGCAGAGGAGCAGCAGAAGGACGAGTTGGTATATTGGCTTTCCTTAGCGAGCTGGTGAGCGGCAGAGGTCTCGTTTGGGCTGGAGGGTCCTCGTAGATGTTGATGGTAGGTTTGTTTTTTAGGTTGAACCGTCCGGGTGCGGGCGCGGAACCAGACGAGCTGTTAGCCTCTGGAGCCACAGGCGGTCTTGGAGTTGTGCTTCGTTCTGGTACGTCCGGTGCGAGGCTGGTTTTAGGCTCGGAAGGAACGTTGATCTCTGGAACTTGCGGTCTTGGGGTGATGTTTCGTTTGGGCACTTCTGGTGCGAGACTGATAGTAGGTACGACAGGCTCAGTTGCGGCGTGCTCCAGTGGCGGTGGGCCAGACTTGGTTGTATTTAAAGGTTTTGGTGTCAGATCAGGTGCGGCCGAGATCTCTTCCTTCATCTCGATCACATTCCAGTTTTTCTGGAAAGAAACGATCGGTCGCCCTGGGGCATCTGAGACCGCGGTAGGAGTAGGTAGCTTTGCACTACGGTCCTTCAGACGAAAGCCTGTGGCAGCACGTAGCTCGTCGCTCCTGATCTCCTTGCCATCCTTCATCTTCACCTCCGGAACATTCTCCACGTCCGCCTTGACATCTTCTGCTGGCTTCGATTCTGCCGAGTTCAGGGTATACGCTGCGTTTCTCGATTGGGTCGGTGGGTTTTTCTGTATCTCGTAGCGGTCGAAGCGTTTCGTCGCAATGGCAGGATCCGTGCTGGACCTCACCAGTGGGTTCCCCTTGATCGATTGGAAACGCATAAAGGGATTGCGCCGTATGCCTAGTGGTAGTTTCTCGGTCTTGGGTGGTTCGGCGGCGGGGGTGGGTTTAGGAGCAGGCGGTGCTTCCTCTTCGGGTTCTTCGTATATCTGGTCGTTCGGGTTGGAGAAAAGACTCCCGCTGATGGTTCGACGGGGTCCGCTGCTTCTTCGTCGTTGTTTGAAGTCTGGGAGGTCTGAGATGGCTTTGGCTAATGCTGGAGACTCGCCGTTCTTACCCTTGATAATGTCAAAGCTGCTCTTGGTAGGTGACGCGGTTCCAGCAGCTGATGTATCGGCATCGCCTGCACGGCCGTTGCTCTGCAAGCTGCTACTCCGGCTCCCTGACGCGGCACTCCCCATCGAATGTCGCTTCCGCAGTTTAGAATTGGCCCGTTGCAGATCCTGATCCTTCGGCTCGACGCTCCGACTCCTCTGCGCGCTGTTCTTTCTGGCCAGACCCGGGTATGCATACGGTTTGGTCGGACTGGCCGCGGCGGCATGGGGATTGCAATGCTTCCAGACCAATTCGACGGCTTCGTCTCGTGCAGCCTCGAATATCTTGCCCTCCTCCTTTGCAAGTTCCAAGTCCTCCATGGCCACGCGTATAGCCCGTGCCTCGTCCTGCTCTGCCTGGCGCTGTTCCCTCTCGCGGTATTGCACGCTGGGTGTGCGCGATCGTGACGAAGACCGTGATGTCTCCCGCCCGCGTGGTGGCTGTACTAGTGGCCTTCCAACCTTGGCTACGACTTCATCTAGGCTCGCTTTGGAGGTTGTTCGGGTGTGCGACTTCGGTTCGTGGGAGGAGGCGGGACGTGCATCGGCGTCGACGACAGGGTCTGTGAAGGTACGCTGTAGGGAGGATATGCCAGTCGAGTCGGACATTCGGTTGTTGGATCTATTCGACCATGTGTTGAAGTGTGCAGGAGCAGGTCGAGCTCCGGTGGGACGAGCGGGGCGGTTTGTGCGAAGGTCTTGAAGATAGCTCTCTATGCCAATCGTCAGTATGGCAGGTGCGAAGGCGTCGCTATAGTTCTTACTCATTTGGGACGGCGAATAGTAGGCTCCAGGCCCTGGTGACGCAGCACCTTCCCTCTCCTTCGACGTGAACATTGCGAATATACGTCGGCCTCGGTGTTTACTGCTCTGTTTGCTGTGCGATTGTCGGTGCACCAGTCGTGAGTGCCAGCTTTTCTGCCCAGAGAAACAGGGATAGAGAACGATATGTGAAGAAGTGAAGATTGATTGTACGACCCGACGCAGCGAAAAAGCGGTGGTGATGTGGTTGCGATGCTGCACGTAGCTTCTCGATCCGGTTGCCCAGCAACTGCAGGTGTGACGCAGACCGCCCCCATCCCTGCAAGCCTCATTATCCCCGGATCTTCAGGGTCCTTTCATCGAGAGCATGGCTAAGTATCGATTGCAATCGATATGATATGTTAGCTTCAAAAACAACGAGTTCGCCTCCATAATGACATCTGTCAACGCGTTCGCAATTTCGATCCGAGGTGGTTCCGTCGATGTACATGTCTAGCCGCGTGCACGGATCCGGGGGAATGTCACAAGGACCCAGGATGATACCTGGGTATGCCAGCTGCAGTGTTGTTTTTACATGATAGTATACAACGTTCGTTCTATCCGCCCTCTATAATGCGTAGGTAGCACTACGTCATCTAAAACCGTCGGCAAGCGATTACCAGAAAGCACGCGAAGCCAATGTGCGCGTGACCTAAAAGTCAAGCCCACCCATGCTATCAGCCCTAACACCAAATCCAATCCAAGCGAAAGTGGGTATCCTGCTATTTCAATGTACACATCCCCAAACAACGAATCTCATCATACTCCAGCAGCATTCGGTTGATTCTCATGCCCAGGGCCAACTGAATCCCATCCCATCGTGACGCTTTCCAACATCGAATCCCAGGACGCGTCTGCCATGGGCGTCAGGCCTGTCCCCGCGTTCAACGCTGCGTATTCCCATTCGTTACCCATTACGAAGCCATCAGTATAAGCTTCGTTGCCCATGTTTCTAGGTAGATTGAAGCCATTTGTAGGAAATGTTCCTCCATTAGCTGCGAGGTCTGGGAAGACGCTGCCAGAGCCTGGCCCCGTCATCTTTGGAGATGCCCGGTATGGCATGTTGTGTTCGATTGGTTGGCCTGGTGAGTAAGAAGAATGTGACGTCGAGCCTCCTCTTGACTGTGAGCTTATTGTGGCGGGGCTGGGCTGATCGACACCCCTATCGCCTCCGGAGAGGTCCATCTCGTTGTCCTGGAAAGTAAAGCCGCCGGAGGGCGCGAAGGCTTGAGCTGCAGTACTCCCGAAGCCTCTGTTTGAATCAAATTGAGAGGGTAAGAAGGTCGCATTGTGCGCGTTCATGTCGATACTGTCGATATTGTGCAGTTGGAATGGCGGAGCAGGGGCGCTGCTCGAGTATTGCGTATTGGAAGTCGATGCCGATGTGGTTGGAATGCCGTTCCCGAACGTACTGGGGGGTGCGGCAGGTTGATTCGGTTCGCGTATATTGATTAACGGACTGCAGGCGATTTGCGGATCAGAATGGATCGAAATGATGGTAGGCTATGGGTCAGGAATTAGTAACTTACTTGGGATAACTCTGACTTAATCGACTCCCAATCGTATCACTGAGTCCCTGGAGAACCTCTGGGGTTTGACTCACTTTGCGCGTGGGCTGTGTGTATGGCTGATGACGCATGCCCTGCAGACCTGCACCCTCTAGATCAAGATCTAATTGCACCAAGAACGACTCTGTGAGTGGGTTCTTCCGTCGAAGAGCTTCCATCGCCTGTAAGAGGAATTGTAACGAGGATTTCATCTGTTGGTCTTTCGGCCGCGTCTTCAGGTATTGGACGAATACCCTTGCTGCTACGTAAACACAGAAAGATATAAAAGGATTCATCTGCCCAAATCAGTAAACGCCAATCGTCGGCCGTTACCAAAAGACTTACTGAACCGAGGTCCATATGACTGATCATCCGCATGATGGAAGCAATCTCGGCTGCTGCTGTTACGCAACGAATCTTGCTTTCATTGCTGACGCTTGCTGGTAGCCGGAATTTGTCTGCTTTGAAGATGGCTGCTTGGTGAAGACATATTGCCGACGTATGTATGCACATGTTCGTGAACACTACGTTGGGTTCGGCTATACCGGATGGCAGGCGGATGCTATCCGGCAGGCTCAGCGAGGTCTGCAGAAGTATACGCTCGATGCTTCGATGTCGATTCCAGAATCCGCCATTGATATCGTTCTCGTTGTCATCTGACAGTGGTCGATGTAAATGAAGCAGATTACGGCCAAACATTGCAGCTGTAAGGACGATACCGCCAAGTGGTTGAAGGTTTTGCACGCCATTAGGATTGAGTAATTGGTCCAGTGATCCAGTATCCATGGGCTTACTCTTGTCGAACGCTTCTTCGCTTGCTGGCAGGTTTGTCATGATCTAAGAAAACAGTCAGGCTTTGCAGTAGTATGAGCACGAGAGGTGTGTCCTTACGTCTTTCTCATCGTAGGTCATGGGCCAGCCAGTTCCAATACTCGCGTATCGATCAATGCAAAAGGTTAGCCAAAAGGTTCTCCGCCGTTCCTCACGCTCGGTCCAATCCTTGGGTGGAGCCAAGCATTGCTTTACATCTAGTCCAACTCCGTCCAGGCGATGCAGCTGCATCATCTGGGCTAGTCTTGAACCTCTCCCGGATGACATCCAGGCTCTTGGGAAGTACATCTGTCTGAACTCGTACGTAGCCATCAAAACCCATGTCTGGCAATGCGCAAGGGTGATGGTCGACTCTCCGTGGCCTCTCATTTCATCCATCTGCGCATATTTCCTAGCACGTTGGTAGAAATGTTCTTGTAACGCCTCATACTTGTCTGTGATGGAAGCAGCTAGGGTCCACATGATATATCGCAGACAAACCGGCGGTCGCATATGAGGAGCCAGGTTCAGAGCGGCCATGAACCGTGGTCTGTGTATGACGGGCATTGAGAGATGGATCTTGGCGAAATATATTTGATATCTGGCAAAATGTCAGCGAAATCACCGTGCTACAGGCAGGATTCGGCTCGTACAAATCGTCCTGGATTTCTTGAGGAGGTAGAGGTTCCTCGAGCCCAAGCCCAATCATCTCCCACGAGGTGTCCTCCGCATCATTTCCGCTTGTACCGGTATTTTGGAATGGGCTTGCACCAGTAATTCTCGACTGAGTATTGCCTGCTGTATTGGGAACATTTGTAGAATTCGGCAGCGATTGACTTATGGTATTCGCAACGTATGTGGAAGCGGCGTCCTGGCGCGGGGCTTCCTTGCTCGGGTCGGTCGTGTCTTGGGTCTTGAGGAGGGTCTCGACTTGCTCTGTATCCCATGAGTCAGTACCATCCACCAGCAGAAGTATGCGCAACTTACGCAGCCGTTGTTCGAGCAGCTTGACGTAGCCGCGCTTGGGTCCACTTTTCTTGCGTACTTCGTCGTATGCGCAATCGTGGTTCAGACGTTTACAGGTCGAACATGTTGGCCGGGTGCCGTCGCATCGCAACTTCCGCTTCCTACACAGAACACAGGCAATTCTCTTGACCTTGCTTGATCCATCCTGTTGCGTTTCCTGACCGTTGGTAGCATTCTGGTCTTGCGCTTGTTGGGACAGGTCGTTGAAGAACGACTCGTCTGGCGATTCGGATCCGTTGGAAGCCATGTTGGCGAATCTTGCTGGTCTTTGGCAGTCCAGGAGGAGTCTTGGATCCACGTTGGCTCAGACGAACCGCCCCCGCGTAAGCACGGCTCAAACGGATGAGGGTCCTCTGTCAAGCCACGATTTCCGTTTGATTGCGAGATCTTAATCGAAGCTACGTCGGCAGTTTAACGGTCGCTCTAAGCGTCGGTGTCGGTGAAGAGCTCGGAGTCTCGAATGCGCGCGGGTAGGCACCAGCGGTTGATCAGCACTAAGAGCGCGTTATGCCTCTAAGGTGGGTGTAAGAGTAGGATGTTAGAAGTGCATGTGCTATTGGGTGTAGAACAGGCCATGGCTGAGCTACGCTCATGTACCTGGTCTCACCTGCAAGGCCGTCCGCGCAATGCGTGTTGCCTTAAGCGTGAGGTGATGTGCAACGTCGAGCATATGGACTAATTATGGCGGATCTCCCGAGTCTTGGGATTGCCAGCAAGGACCCCCTACCGTAAGTTCGTAGCTACATAGACGATTACTGATACAGAAAGTTTGCTCTTTAGGTCCTGATAGCTACTCTGGAGCCCATGGTGTCTCTTTGCGTGCCCTGTTGCGCATGTGGTTGTTTCGTGGCTGCAAGGTGCTGTATGCAGCTTCGCCAGAGCGGCATGGTGGGGCAGTAGTCCAGCCCAAGATGGGTCAAAATGCGACCGATCTACGCGCAGCGTCTTGTGTCATCAACCCAAACATGGAGACCAGGTGTCGGCCTGTCAACGGTCACACCAATAGTAATCAGGAATTCATGTACTTGAACGGTGCGCGCAGAGATAAGAATGGCCAAAGTTAGATAATGATGCCACCTACTGTTCATTACACGGCTTGATGAGCTCGTGGCAGGAGATCTGGTTCTGCCCAGGCCACAAGCAGCCAAGTGATCTATGCATGCCCAGGAAGCCGTGGTCGTGAGATTGCAGAAGAGCCGCAACGTCCAAAGTTCCGACCCCCGAGCTTGGACTCTGCTAAGTCTGCTTGGACTCTGCTGGCACACGTCAGGACCTCAGATGCGACCGAGAGAGTCCCCGAGCCTCGAATATTTGATGAAGGCGAAATTCGAGCAGATGATGCCGAATTGCTTGAACAGGGGATGCACGTTTGGTGGTGCGATGCGCATGATGGGGATTTCGGTGAAGCACTGGGGTAGTCAGACCAGCTGGAGTCTAGACAGCACAGCTAACTTTATGCATTTGCTGCTGCCGTGCAAAAATATCGAAACGCGACTGGGTGAGTACTGATGTATATTGGTAGACGGCATGGCATGCGACTACAGTATATGGTACAGCTCCATTTTGAGCATATAGTACACCGGGGACCACCCTACCTCGCCCTCCGCTTTCCTTGATTGCGGGGTTTATCTTGGACGAGGAAGGTGTGCTTGTTCCTCTTGTGCCTCGTCTTGTAACCTCCCTTTGCTGGAGTGCCCCACGGACTGACGGGGTGCACGTTACCCTTTGATTTACCACGACCACCACCGTGGGGATGATCAGCTGCGACATGTTAGAAGACTGCAACTGAAGTGAATGATTCAAGAACTGACCTGCGTTCATGGCGAGACCACGGACCTCTGGTCGCTTTCCGAGCCACCGTGAACGTCCGGCCTTTCCAAGTGATGTGAAGTGTGATTGCGGGTTGCTGGCAACGCCAATGGTGCAGCATGCGTCTGCGCTGACTTTGCGGATTTCACCGCTCATCAAGCGGATAATAACGTGCTTGATCTCTGAGTTGTTGCCCTTCTCCACCTCCTCCTTGTTCACGATGATGGCGTATGTACCGGCACTGCGGCAGAAGACACCTCCGCCTTTTGTCTTGGTACCAACGTTATATACCTGCGAACCGAGGGGCACCATGTGGATGGGAAGGCAGTTTCCACGTGCGGCTGTCTTCGCGGCCAGCATACCGGGATCGATACCGCCACCCATGCTGTCAATCAGGTCCTTGGGAATACCCGTCCTGTAGCTCTCGACCTCATCGCCCGCCCTCATGCCATCTGCGGCGATGATGTACGACTTCTCTCCAGTAGCCACGCGGGTGATGAGGGCCAGATGCGAGCTCCGGTTGGGGTCGTACTCTATCCGCTCCACCACATGCTTGCCGGGCAGGTATCGCTTGTAGTCGACGATGCGTATCCTCCTCTTGTGGCCACCACCTCTGTGCCTGACCGTGACCCGTCCTGTGTTGTTCCTTCCTCCGAGATGCTGCCCCTTCCGTTCGATGGTGAGCTTCAGGTGCGGTCGGCCCTTCCACAGGTGGTCGTTGACGGGTCGCTTGAGATGGCGCAGACCAGGCGTGCGAGGCTTGTATGTGCGCAGAGGGATAAACTTCTCCTTGCGCGAGCCTTCCTGTTTCAGTACTCCGGCGTCGGCAGCCACGGTAGGCTGTATCGCTGGGGGAGGTTTAAGGTCGATGGCCTGGACCTGTGCGTAGGTGCGGGCAGACAGCAGCGCCCGGCCCAGTCGCGAGGGCTGGAAACGACATATCCGCGGCTGCAGCATACCTGGGAGTGCAGCTGGGGACGCTGGATGCTTCACGCTGGTGCAATGGACGCCGGCTGGATGGCGTGCAGCTACTCGTCATGTCACGAATAATTCTCAAACCCGCCGCAATTGGCTAGGCCGGCCCGGGTGGGTCGGGCAGGCAGGGCGCGATGTCCCAGCAACAACGTGTGTCTGCTTCCTCGCCCACCACAACACGCTCGTCGTCTTCGCCATCTTTACGCTGCACCTGCCAGAACCCCCATCTCACAGCCCAGCTGCTCGCCCGCGACCCATCTTACTGCACGGGCAAAGTTTACGCGTTGGGGCCTGGTGTCATCTCTGGTAAGTCCACTGACGCGCCTGTGGGGCGTGCACTGTTGCCCTCTGCCAGCCTCGAATGCGATTTTGGCGCGTGGGACGTGGAAGCCAAGCTAGCCTGCCCTCGCTCAAAACACACAACATACCTCTCTTCCTACCCACAACACACCTTGGTGCACATCCTCTCTCGCCCTCCCCCATCCTCCACACTCCCTCTCACGATTAATTGCAGCTGGACCGTTACCCTGTCCACTCAATTACCACGCACCGAGCGCTCCAAGGGTTCGTCTCTCTCGCCCGTCACGTCACCGTCGCTGCCGCACCCCATCAGGCGTGTCAGTCCGGCCAGCTTTCGCGAGCATCAAGCGTGGTTCTGTATGCAACATCGCTGCATGCACACCGCGGCTCTTGATGCTCCCGCGTTGGCAGCCTCTACGCGCGCTTTTTCAAGCTTCACCGAGCTCTGCTGACACCTCAAAACAGTGTATCAAAACAAGTCCTACAGCCGCCATTCCACTCTCCAGATATACTCAGCACCTGGATACCTCTCTAGCCTTGATCAGCATACATAATATTGCTTGCAATGCCTCCCGCTGTACGTCGTCGCCCTTTCACCTGCTCTCACGTCATCTGCTCTCGTCCCATCTCCCATCGGCGCGAAGCAACACGTCCATCACCATTCACTCTACTAACGCGTGTCACAGGCTCGATCTCTCAGGCAGCGCGCCGTCACCAACGAGAACGATGAGAACGCGGCTACGACACGCTTGACGCGTGCAAAGGCCGCCAACCTCGGCGCCAACGAGTCTGCTGCCGACGTGCCCAAGAAGACTCTCCAGGCGAAGAAGTCCACTGCTACTCTAGGCGCGAACGGTGCTGCCACGCGTAAGCGTGCTGCCCTCGGTGACGTCAGCAATGTCACCAAGACCGACGGCCTCGGTGCTGTCGCGAAGGATGGAAAGAAGGTCCTGGCCACCAAGGGCGCAGTCTCCAAAGCAGCACAGCCCACCGGCATCAAGAAGCCATCGCGGGCCAACTCGACGCGTTCCATGTTAGAACCCAAGGAGAAGAACCTCGCGTCATCCGAGGTGAAGAAGCGCGGTGCCAGCGGCAACGGTATCGCCGGCCAACCAGCCAAGAAGCGAATGCAAATTACCAAGACCGTCAAGGAAGAGGACCCCGAGGAGGAGCTCAAGGAGGAAGATGAAGAGGAGGCTGAGAACGTCGTCCCAGAGGAGAACGTCACCGAGGAGAAGGACACCAAGGCTGCCAACGGCACCAAGAAGGAGCTCGAGCCCATCACAGAGGTCTTCTACAAGGGCCCAGACCTAGACAAGGAGGACGTCGACGACCCATTGATGGTTTCCGAGTACGTTGTTGAGATCTTTGAGTACCTCAAGGAGCTAGAGATTGCGACCATGGCCAACCCGGACTATATGGAGTCCCAGACTGAGCTTGAGTGGAAGATGCGCGGTATTCTCGTCGACTGGTTACTCGAAGTTCACACTCGCTTCCGCCTCCTCCCGGAGACTCTCTTCCTTGCTGTCAACATCATCGACCGCTTCCTCTCAGCCAAGATCGTCCAGCTTGACCGTCTTCAGTTGGTTGGTGTCACCGCCATGTTCATCGCGTCCAAGTACGAGGAGGTCCTGTCTCCCCACGTCCAGAACTTCCGTCACGTCGCCGATGATGGCTTCACCGAGGAGGAGATCCTCAGCGCCGAGCGTTTCGTCCTTGCTGCCCTCAACTACGACCTCAGCTACCCCAACCCCATGAACTTCCTTCGCCGGATATCAAAGGCCGACAACTACGACATCCAGACCCGCACACTGGGCAAGTACCTCCTCGAGATCGGCTGCCTGGACCACCGCTTCCTCGCCCACCCCCCCAGCCAAGTCGCTGCCGCTGCCATGTACCTTGCCCGCCTCGTCCTCGAGCGTGGCCCTTGGGACGAGACCCTCACACACTACGCCGGCTACAGCGAGGAGGAGATCCAGCCTGTCCTGCAGCTGATGATCGACTACCTCTCCAGCCCTGTCATCCACGAGGCCTTCTTTAAGAAGTATGCTAGCAAGAAGTTCTTGAAGGGTAAGTCATCGCATACTCCACTCTGTCGTTCACAACTAACATTCACCAGCATCCATCGTTCTACGCAAGTGGGCAAAGGACTACGTCGCTGCCTACGGTAACGCGCTCCAAGAAGAGGAGGAGGAGGCCGCCATTGTCCCCTCCAAGACCAAGAGCCAGCGCTAAGACTGTTCTCCTTCTTTAGGCACTCCCGGTCTTTGGCTCAGGAGTCGCAAAGCTATTCATTACCGCCATGCTCACTGAGCAGCGGATGACGATGTTCGGTTCGACCGGGAGCAAAATTTACGATTGCATCCAAGCCAACCCCTTCATGTTTACATCTTGGCTAATACCATCTTCCGGTCGGCGTTAATACATGGGATGCAAGTTGGTTGCACAATTCTGTTATGGTTTCTCTTGTCTTGTTTTGGAACATGGAGTCGCAGGCGTTCATCCCCATGCACGGAGGCGCAAATCAAGGGTGCTTGCCTTTTCACATCACTCTTAACTTCATTTCTCTGTAGCGGCTCTGGATACTCGCTCATAGCATTAGCGATCGATATACCATGAATGGTGTGATATGGGAGAGGCTATTCCTTGGCGGATCTGTATGTGGTGTCTGTGGGAAATATGGGTTCATTGGGATAGCAAATGTGAGGTAGCTCTCAGAGTGTATGAATAGTCTGAAAACGCACTGTTTCGCGTCAAATGGAGACAGAAATTTCAATGAGCCTCGCTTTCGTCTGACGTGACGTGACTTTACTCTGACATTGCACGATGATGCCATAGATGCTGTTAGCCATCCTTCCCCAGCCATCTCATGCAAAGACCCACACCTAAACACGAAGAAGCGCATCGCGTCGCGCGTCCAAGACTCGTAAAATACACGATACGTCACGACCGTGTTCAGACGCCACATTTTCCTTGGTTTCGCGCGTCTTGCTCAGCACTGACACCAACACGCCCGCGTTGCCGCTCCACGATCGCGATGCAGACGTGCCCAGCCCGGCCATGTCGCGTTCCCGCGATCAATGTGCCTCGGCAATTCACGTCGACATCGGCGCTAATCTGGATACGGAGCTCACCTGAATGCATTGCGACCACAGCTTTGCGCGTTGATTGCGTGTTGATCGATCATCAATACGGGGAAGACCCTGATCATCGTTTTTATCTTTCATCATCTTTCTTGTTCGATTTTGAAGACGTTTGAGTTAGTGGAGGTTGTGAATTGTGCTGCCACAACGACTTGCACCTGCGTTATCTGGACTGCGTTACCGGCCCTTCACCTACCTACTGGAACAAGACGTGGATATATCAACAAACGGCATCGTCAGGACCCGTTCATCAATTATCATCAACATCCATCAATTACTATTCACCGTTCCGACTACTACATCCCCACAAACCAGCACAATCAACGCTCCCACCAACGCAACAATGCAAGAAACGGACCTCCACTACCCACCCCAAACCTGCCCCTTCTGCACCATCGCCGCCGCCTTCCCCTTCCCCTTATCATCACCCTCGTCTATTTCCCCGAGCAGTCCACCGCCCACTCCCTCACTATGGAAAAGCAGCAGTACCCTAGAACAAGACTTGTTAAAAGAGAGTATACCAAAAGAAGAGGAGAGCGACCCAGAGAAAACCAGTCCGAGTAGTTTTGTGGTGCTGAGGAGTAGGGATGTCGTTGCTTTTCTGGATATCTTGCCGATGACGGGAGGCCATTTGCTTGTTACTACGCGTCAGCATAAGGTCAAGGTTGCGGATATGGAAGCCGTGGAGAGTAGGGAGATTGGTACGTTAAGCTAACCTATCTCACTTGTTGGTAAAGAGTGATATACTGACTATGTGACTAGGTTTCTGGTTACCGATACTAGCACGGACGGTGGCTAAAGTAACGGGCGTGACGGATTACAATATCGTGCAGAATAACGGTATGTTTCTTACTTCTTCAATCTTTTCTGATCCCTTTGTATTCTAATAAATACTTGCAGGAGCACGTGCCGCGCAAGTAGTACCTCATGTACATTTTCATATCATACCGCGTCCGGAGACGATGCCAGAGATCAAGAATAAGAGTTGGACGATGTTTGGACGGGGCCAGAGGGATGATTTGGATGATGAAGAGGGGGCTAAGATGGCGGGGGAGATGAGGAAGGTGTTGAGGAAGGAGGTGGAGAAGATGGGTGCTGCGAGTGCGAAGTTATGAGAAGTTATAACCATTTTGAATCGATTCGTTTTGGGCATGAGCGCGTGGATGTATAACTATTATTGGGCTCATTATTGCTGCTGTTGAAGCGCACAATTCATGTTCAGTATCATCAACTTTGAGAAACTATCCAAAGAACGCTGGGTATCATCACTCTCTCCCTGTCCATCCATTACATTCATCCTGCGACTCCAAGAACGCCATTCCAGACACTTGCGCATTCTTGATCCCATCCCATCATTCGTCAAAAAGGACGCTTACTGGCTCTTCTTGGCCTTGGTCTCCTCGGCAGGTACAAACCTCTTCCTAACAGCCTTGATCATCTGCGAGAACCAAAAGAAGTTGAGCATGCTCAACGCCGTGTTACCCACCAAGTATACACAGACCAGCCACATGGGCAGCTCGCCAGCTGTGCAGTTTCCGGGTCCCTCGAGACCCATACTGCTGTTGGAGGTTCCGTCGCACTTCTGGGCCTCGAGCAGAGAGCTCATGAGTTCGGGCTTGGGCATAGTGAGCGCCTTGTAGATGTCTGAGTAGATCATCACAGACTGGTATGAACCCCAGACGATGCGACAGCCGAAGAAGGTAACGAGGAGGGCGATGCCGTTGTAGAGCTGGAGCTTTGAGCCAGTCATCCCGAGTTTGTCACAAAACCAGTGGATGTTGAGGAACGGGGTGGAGAGTTCGTAGAGGACGAAGGAGAGGCCGTAGTAGTTTCCGAATGGTTTCTAGAAGAGAGTCAGTATGTGTGATGCTGTGTGGAAGTGGAGAACGTACGAAACCAATGCAGGTCACGGCCAAAGCACCGATCGCATGGATCAAAGAGCTTACGCCAGCAATGTTGATGTATTGCGCGGACACTTGGAGATCCCATAGGAAGTACCCAGCTGCGAATCCCTGCACCATACCGCTAGCTGGCGTATATCCCCACAGTCTACCCCTCCAGTCCATCTCGTGCCTCTGTTCATCCTTGAAGATGACCCACAGCGCAGCGGCGCATATGAATAGCGCTTGAATCATAGAGACCCAGTGGATGTCCCAGTTGAGTCGCGTGCGCTTGTTGAAGCTTTTGTATACGTTCGGGCAGACGAGTCGCGAGACGGCCGGAGAGAGGACATGGAGGATGAGATGGTAGCCCAGGAAGCCGAGGAGAATCTCGTGGACGTGGTATGGGAGGGTCGTCAGGCTCAGCTTGTCGGCGAACGACTTGCTAGACTGCACGAGCAGCGAGGGCGCAGGAAGGGGGTCCCGCATATTGGGTCTGAGTAGGATATCGACTAAAGACATGGTGTATCAGTTTCGCTGTGCGCAACAGTCGCAAGTGCAGGAACGGGGGAAAATACTGGATTCTTGCGGCTACATGTTCCGCCTATATATACTCGGCGGTGGGGCGCAGTGATCTTCGAGGGTTTCCTCTTGCGTCTGGAGTGTCTCGTGTGTCGTACATTGCATGCCTCGGATGGGCGTTTTACCGTGATCACTGAGTCGGCACATGCGGGGCTAAGGCTGCTGCGATCGAAGCTTAAAGCTTACCCTGACGGCGCTAGGCGGGAATTCGCCGGCGTCCTGCATGCACCACTCCGCGACTCTATCGGTCCTGCCATCGTCATTCCTCTCCTCCTCATCCACAAACCTCACCTGGTCAGCACAACAAACCTCACTCGCCTCTGAGCTCCTATACATCTCGCACAGCGCTGTGTAGGTTCATCCGCGCCCTCCGAAAGAGCATGGCGGCATTAGAAGGCTTGCCCTTCAGAAAGACTAACGAACCATGGCGTCTCCAACAGCGACCTCCAAGGCTGCTGTCATCACTCCCAGCGCCCTGAGTTCTCTTCTTCGCTAGGCAACAGCCCTTGTTGCTACCGGCACCGGAGAAACATCAACGCCGTAGCGCCCGTTGTCCCGCAAACAGACCTTACCGCCCAATATTTCTGCCGCCGACGACTCGAGCTCCTCTTCACCACAACAACAACAAGTTGCGCGTCTCACCAACGTGCACCTTGACCAGTTGCTGAGCCGCGAAACCGTTGCCGAATCTCTTGCCGAACCTCTTTGGCACGAACTTTTGCTGTGACATCCTTCTAACACAATCATGTCCAGTTACAGAACCGAACTCGACGACTTCATGGGGGGTCGGAGGTTCGACGAGTTTGACGGCCCTCTGCCTTCCTCCCGCTCTCCGTCCGCACCCGCCGATATGGCACCGCCAGAGCCGCAAGCTGGCAAGAAGCGCAAAGCCGAGAAGGAGCCTGAGGTTAGTACCGTCTCAAGCTTCTAGATCACTCACTAACATGATGCAGGCGAACAAAAAGCCCAAGGTCATGGAGAACAAAGCGATCTGGATCTCTAATCTTCCGCCAGACACTACGAAGGAGGAGCTCGAGGAGGAGTTCTCCCGATACGGCATGATCGACAAGGGCGCCAACGGCGAGCCGCGAATCCGACTAGAAGAGAAGGATGGCAGGTTCACAGGCAACGCGATGATCGTGTACTTCAAAAAAGAGGCGATTGTCAACGCAGTCAAGCTCGCCGATGACTACCCTCTGCGCCTTGGCGAGACCGAGCACGGCAACATCCACGTTGAGCCTGCCAGCATGGAGTATAAAAAGGAGAAGGACGGTGAAAAGGTGGCATCAAAGCTTACACGTCGCGATCGTAAGGCGACCGAACGTAACAGGCAAGAGCTCAACCGGTAAGTTAGCAGTCTGCTTACTCTGAAATCGTCACTAACAAAGTTGTAGGAAGCTGAACGAGTGGTCTGACAACGAGGACGAAGTTGCTAAGACCTTCGTGGCAAAGAAAAACAAGTGGGCCAAGGTCGTCATCATCAAGGGCATGTTCGACGTGAACGTAATGAGGACCGATCCGGATAACTATGACCATGTCTACGAGGATACGATGGAGCCCGCTGCGAAGTTCGGCACAGTCACCAAGGTCACCATCTGGGACTTGGAACCTGAGGGCATTGTCACCGTCCGCTTCAAGGAGTTCGAGGACGCAGAGGCGTTTGTGGCCAACAACTTCGGCGGCCGCAAATACAACGGCAGCCATCCCCAGCTTTCGCTTGCCGAGGACAAGCCCCGTTTCAAGAAGTCCGGCCGTGGTGATATCTTCGGTAGCGAGTCAGAGTAACCACCTGTCAACGCCAAGGCTTAGACAGCTCTCACTTCGAGTTGCGCATACTTTACTGTATAGCTTTGGAATTGAGTAGGATACGGGATGGAGGATGAATGCAAGCTTGAACGCTTGAAAGGGGAATGATACCCTCATGTACTACACATGAATATGAGCCACATGGCCTTCGACTGCAATTGAGCAAGTCACCAACGTCACCATCTCCCATTTGATCATTTTGAGTGATGTTGCAGTGTTTTCATGGACACTAACATACAGAAGCATTGTCGCGAAGGCGCCCGGATGAAGCACGTCATAGCATCTATCACAAACAACGGAGTGCGAAAGAAGGTATTTGCAAATTTGTGACATTCTCATATCTAGCCCATTATCAAACTACATTATTGAAGAAGTGACCCCGTGAACATGACCCTATACACATGCGAAAACAGGGTACCAAAGTATTGGACCCTCGCGTGTCTGGCGAAAAGAAGCGATGAAGCCGATCTAGCGACCCATCTGGTATCAATGACATTGAAAAGAAGAAAAAGAAGAAAACTCCATGATGCACCTATGCTCCACAAACGTGGCTCATTTACAAGACGAGCGCGGCAGCAGCGGCAAGCAGAGCACCAGCGCCACCGGCGACCTTGACGGCGGCGCCGCTGAACTCAGCTGGTGCTGAGGCGGAGGCCGAGCTGGGAGGGATGGGCATGCCGGTGGTGGGCGACATCATGCTGGTGCTGGTGGCGTTGTAGGCGGGCGAGCCTGATGGCATGGCGAAACCAGATGAGGCAGTAGTAGGAGGCATGGCGTATCCGGAGGACATGGCTGGGGCGGAAGACATGGCAGCGGAGGAAGAGGCGGCTGGGTAGCCCTCTCCCTCGCCAGCAGAGACCATGGTGAAGTTGGCGCAGCCGATACGGGTCTTGTTGCTGAGGTGGACAACGAAGGATAGGGCGCCGAACTGTGAAGTATTAGCAAATTGGATTTCTAGATTACAGCGAATGAGCAAAACTTACGAAAGCAGGGTCAGAGGGCAGAGTAGCAGAGTACAAGTCGGTGTACTCAGCCGAGAAAGTGGTCTCAGTAGCGTTTCCGTACTTGCCGCTCAAGTCACCAGTCTGGCAGGTCTCAGGCTTGGTGGCATCGCAGGGAGGAGCCTCGCCGCGCATGTAGGGGTCCAGATGAGCGCCGGTACCAGTGCAGTTGCCGTCAGAAGGAACAGGCTTAGCGTGGAGGTGGTACATGAAGGGACCGCCAGTCTCGGGAAGGCCAGCGAAGGAGACCTGGAACTTGACACCCTTGCCGTCGGCGCCGGTGGTGGCCTCGATGGATCCGGTGAGAGCGCTGCCCTCCTTGGCGGGGAGAGTACCGACGTACTTGGCACCTATGGGGTTGCCCATTACGACGGGAGCGGGAGTGCCTTGGGCGGCGACAGCGGTAGCCGCGGCCAGAACAGAGATGATTGAGACAAGCATTTTGAATGTGTGGCTGGTGGTTTCTTGTGAAAGAATGAAGTTGAGACTCGACTGTGGGAATTGTTTAGCGAGTGCAGGTGGAAAGGAAGAGTAGATGAGCGAAGTAACTGAGTGATCGGGGAAATGAAGTGGAGGCGCCAAGTGTGTTTATATGAGATCCGCGCAATTGAAGTGCGAGAGGGGAAAGCGCGATAGAACCTTGTCGAACGAATAATGCAAACGGAAAGTTCCACGAACGGCACCCGGGTAGGAATGGAATGGGAATTGGGAAAGCGCAAACCGCTCGAGGGACTGTGATTACATACCGAATATTATAGCGAACGCTGATAAGCAAAGCGAAAGACTCTGTTGGCAGACAATGAACTGTAGGAAAGAACCAGTGAAGGGGGCTTGCTTGCAGAAAGGGATGATTCCTCAGGAAGCTGGCGGCTGGCAAACACTATATAATCTTTCCTGCCGGGTAGAGGCGCAGCAGGCACCATGCACCGGTGGTTGGGGCGTCACACACCAAGAAAGTCCCATCACGCATCCATCTGATCCAACGCCCATTTCCCGCAAAGCCTTGCGCGCCGTCACTTGCACGCAAACCCACTACGGAACCCTCTTTTCTGCCAGTTCGCTCCGGCTGATTGGCCGCCGCGAACAAAGACTGCCTTCGTTATTGCATGAAACCAGGTGTTGTTTGCCGTTTTTGCGCTAAAGGATGCGCGCCCGCTTCGCCGTTTCGAAACACCAAGACGCATGGGCGCTTTGCCGGCCAATCATTGCGGGGGCGGGCCTTGTTCCTGAGGCCAGGGCTGAGCCTGGTGTGGAGTTTGTCAGACTTGGCCCCAGCCAGCTCAGTTTTCTGTATGCGCCAATGGGGGCTACATGTTGGGGCTGGGAAGTAAGAGTCATTCATGCCACGTAGGCTAGAGGCTATGAAGAGTTGCAGTGTTTTTGTCGTGTCGTCGCTTGCTGATGCAGATTCTCTGAGGAAGAGAGGGTCAGGCTGTCGCAGATGTCCTTTCTGCCGCCAACATACCAAGCTTTGGCTACTGCAGCGCTAGTCGGATCTAACAGTCTTGGTACAGATCCAAATTTACCCCATACAGTGGCATGGCGCTTGCGTGTTGCACCCTTTCCACTAGCCGAGTCCCTAAGGGAACAAACATTCCACACAAAACTCTCGTTGTCGCGCTTATCGACGCAAATAGACCAAACATGCGTTCCTGGCGCGGGTGTATCAGATGCGAATTCCTGTGTTTTACTGAGGCAGAGAGGCGGTGGACAAGGTTGCACGGCACGGCAAAGACGGGTGTGACTCGAGATCGAGATGAGATGAGATGATGTAGAAGGAGGAGGCGTGGGAAGCAGAGGAAATTGACGAGAAGCGGTTGAAGTGGGAAAAGACAGGGTTGCTGCATCTATCTGATGCAGAGTGATATGGAAACATCGAAATTACACATCCATCATTACCCTTTCGCATATTGCGCAGGACGCTTGGGTACCCTACCTACTCAAATACCGGCATCCATACGGATCGCGGCATGCCCGGTGGAGAACGATCTGTTCCACGTAAATTTAGCGCATCGAGGATGGGGCTACCTCAGTAGATCCAATTCTTTCCGAACCTTGTAGCTGACTCTAGGACAGCACCAACCGATTATTTTCGCTGCACCGGCAGCGACCAGATCCGCTGCGACATCCTGAACGGTTTTGTATGCCCATGGAGCTTCTTCAAAGACAAGGTCTTTCTCATCACAGATAACCCACGTGCCTTCTGGGTCTTCTGCATTCGGCTCCAAGAGGTTGATGCCTTTGTACTTCTTACCCAGGGTCTGGAGAGCCTTTGCCCGAGACATGGCTCGTCCTGCGCCATGGGCCAGCGAAAGTCCGTTTTTAAGCCCCCATGAGTTGGCTTCCGAGAATGTTGGCTGGAGGATGAGCGTGGCGGTGCTCCGGGAACCGGGCAGTGGAAGGAGACCGAGCGGCAACTGAGTTTTGGGGTCGTATGTCGGGGCTGCGCCTTTTCTATGGAGAAAGACGTATTCTTTTGGAGTGTTTTCATCGCCAAGTGCTATCTGGTCCAGCGCCTCGGTCAGACTGCGTTCAGGAGTAGAATCCTCCGCGGCTGGGGAAGAAGCAGGTGGAGGCCAGGCCACACATTCGACGTTGTTGTGCCAGATGTCAACTACCTTGCGCTTCTTCAGTGCCGCTTTGGCTGTCGCGATCATCGTTATGCCCTCTTCGCCGAAGTCGCTGGCGTCAGAGTCGCCCAGCTGCCAGTCTTCATTGCCAGGCTCAAGGCATGCAAGGAATCGCAGGGCGATCAAATCCCGGTTTGCCCTCGCCCACTCGCAGGCCTTGTTGTGCTCCTCCAGGTATGCATTGGCATCCTCACTATCGTCTGGAAAGCTTGTGCGTGAGTCGGTTGTGTACTTCTTGAGAATGCTGCCTCCTAGTCCTCGTGATCCCGAGTGAACCAGCAGGACGACATCATTTTGATGGAGTCCATCGTCTGACTTGGCAAATCCCGATTCCTCGACGACCTGGATCTCGGCAAAATGATTTCCAGCTCCTATAGTGCCCAGAGCAGCGTCCCACTGTTTACCGGCGGAGATGCTACAGTTGTCTTCGTCCAACAGCCATTTCTCTCGGTAGGCTTGGTTGCGCCAGGCACCCTCTAGTCCTCGAAGCTGATTAGCAACATTCTTGCCTTTGTTCCCATCAACCTGGCTTCTGTTGAGTGTTGTTTTGTACCAGGCCATACCACATCCGATATCGCCACCGATGAGAGGAGGATGGATCCATCCCTTAGAAGCAAAGACTGCGCCGATGGGGAACTTCGTGCCTGGGTGGAGATCGGGCTGGCCAACGGCATGTATGATGCCCGGAAGCGTGCGCGCGGTGGTTTCCAGCTGAGTCAAAGCTAGCGGTTCAACGAGGGTTGCTTCAGATGCTAATATTTCAACTGGGCATTGTGGACTTGCGTCGGCTATTATATTGTGTCAGTAATTGATCGTAATACGGAAGGGGGTAGGTAAGCACAGATATTGAGCGCAAACTTGCTCAAACGTCAGTGCTACTTACCATGCACCCCTGATACTTTCCGGGCACCAACATAGTCTTCTCCCGCTGAGACGAGCAATACGACGTCGTTAATAATGTTGCTCTTCCAGTCTGCTTCAGACACAAGCTCTTGCCCGCTGCGTCCGACAAAGACACGAGTCGGTTTCTTTACACGCAGTTTTGTCTGCGCACTCTTGAAGACAAGCGCTCGGACAGAAGACGAGGCTGTGGGGTTAGTGGACGCGGAAGCGGGTATAAGGATTGGACATTTTGTTGATTGATTTGCATTTGATGCGAGAGTCAGACGTATGGCGGGCATCTTCGCACTGTGGTTGAGATTTTGGGTCTGGTGGAGTAACACGATCTCGAAAGGGAAGCGATAGTCGTTCGTGATATGGACATAGAACGAAAGTTTGATCACAGAGTCTGGTGACAGGACTTTATTTACACTGCGCGTTCGCAAATGGTTTACCTAGCGCAGCGCCGCTCACTTCGACTCATCTTGAACTATTCGAGCACAGCCACAATGTCTTTCACCACAACAAAGCGTAGCGTAACGGATGCCTTGCCCCAAAAACATCGAACAAGCATAATGCTAACGCACTTCCACATTGATGGTTAGATAAGTGCTTCACGTGACTGCGCTTTTACCTCACAGCCGCCGACGTGAAGCTATGGTTGGGATCGTATACCAAAAACGCAGGCAAGGTGTGGTAAGCGGTGTACTGGAAAAGCAGGGCCAAAGTAAAAGGAAGAGATCATCAGGGCCCGCCGTCCCGTATCGCGGGCGTGGACGAGAACGTGCCATGTGCATGACGTACTATAGTCCGATTGGATGCTTGGACCGCGTTGCCGTTACAACGCACCTTGCTTGGCGCATACCACACAGCCGCACCGACTTTGATGCCCACGACATCTCGACACCTGCCAGCCCGTACTGCGACCGTCGATTGCACTGCGCTTCCAATTGTGAGTTACTAATTGGCACACATCGGTCCCAAGCTCATACAAACAGCGCCCAGCCACTACCACATCGATAGCCGTAGCCGTCCCAACAACAAGCCGGCCCCGTACGACATCACCACTCCCTGGCGCAAGCCGCACACCTTGCCTCACGAACGACCAACATCTATAATCCCACAATGCGCACATTCTTCGCCCCGCTACTGCTTGCGCCGCTCGCCGCGCTCGCCGCACCCGATGTCTACGGCGACTTCGAGGCCGCCGTTGCGCCATTACCGACGCCCGTATACGAGGCCATGGAGACGTCTCCCGCCGACGGCAACCTCGAACTGCTCAAGCGACAAGGCAATGCATGCGCGACTTCCTACTTCAACTGCGCCGGCCTCGGCGCGCCAGGACTCTGCTGCCCACGAACAGCCGTCTGCTCAGCCGACCAGGCAGGCCACGTAGCATGCTGTCCCCAAGGCGTCGCCTGCACAGGAGCCATCGGCGCAGTCCCCACCGGCGCGAACCCCTCAGCCACCTCGACCGTCTCCTTCGTAATCGCATCCACAACCGGGGAGCAGCCCTTCGTGCAGGAAACAAATGGCGCAAACCACGGAAGCACGGTACAGAACCAATTCTACCCTTTCCCGTACATACCGACGACTTACACCAACGCAGCTGCCTGCTCGTCCGCTTATACAAGCTGCCAAAGCGATGCTGCAAGTTGTACGACTGCTCTAGCCAATGGCGCCGCCGGCGTCACCATCTCGGCCCCCAACGGCGGCGGCGCTACCATTACCGCCATTCCCAGTGTCGGCCTCCAGTCCGCTCAGAGCATCTGCTCCAGTCTCAGCAGTCTGGGCTGCTCGCAGCTTACCGTCGAGGCTTGTGCGGCTTTTGATGGTCAAGGGAACGCGGCGAAGAGAGCGCGGTGTGCCGACTACCTGATGACAGCGGGAGTCGCCGTTGGAATCGCAGGGCAGCTGCTGAGATGAGGAAGA